ATTTTGATAAAGATTTTTATAAAATTTGATAAGCAGAGTTGGCAGAATAATGTTGACCAATTAGATACAGGACTATGATATTGAGAATGCTAGGAGTATTTTTTTAACAAAATATTATTTTTGTTTGTAGTGGTTGCTGTCTGCTGTCCTAAAAACATAGGAAACACATGTACCTCCTGTACTTCAGTAGCATTCCTAAAGGAAGGCAACAACTTTAAGTTACTGCAAGTCATCTAATTGTGTTGTTAATACTTGGTGGTCTTCAGCAGCTGTTGCATGCTGTTGTGACTCCTTTATTCCAATAGCATATGCTATTTTGATAAAGGGTTTTGAGTGTCAGAAATCAATGAAATAACACCATTTACTATGTAGGTACTGAGTGTTCAGCTAAACCTTGAACATAATTGTAGTAGCAAATTCACTGAAAGGTCACTGAGTAAAAAGCTGAGAGCTTTAGATGTCAATTTTTATTAAAATTGTCACCTGGCAACCTATGTGTGCCAGGTGACAATTTCAAACATGATTTAAGAAGTTTGTTTTTTTTTTTTTTTTACGGATATAAATCTTGTAATAGGTCATTCAAACTAATTAAGTCATTACTAATTAATTCATGTTCAGATGATTCACTGGTATGGCTAGACTCATTAACATTAGTCTTACTATAATCACTCACTGATTATAGTAAGACTAATGTCTTATTATACAAATTTTACATCTGAACTATTCTTACAAATGCAGCTCCTAGACATTTTTTAAGTTAAATGTTAAAAACACAAAAAATTTATTGTTTATGATACTAGATTTAAAAAACAAGCTTATAATAATTGTTTTATAAGCTTTTTTATATAATTGTTTTATAATAGTATTAAGAAAAACAAAGTATAGAAAAACTTTAAAAATATCATTTTTGATTTATGTAATATATACATAATTCAAAAATATCATTTTTGAATTATGTATATATATATATATATATATATATATATATATATTATATATATATATATATATATATATATATATATATATATATATATATATATATGTATATATATATATATATATATATATATATATATATATATATATATATACATATATATATATATATATATATATATATATATATATATATATATATATATATATATATATATATATATATATATATATATATATATATATATATATATATATAAACACACACATAAATAAAGATATATATTTATTAATTAAAAGTTTAACAAGTTTGGGTCCACACTTTTGTGGTTTTGAAGGGTTTCTGTATTGCCAATTTTTAATTTAAATAAGACAGAATAGTTAAAATAATATTTTACAATCATTTGCCTTCTTGGCATTAGTCTGTTATTGCAGATAAGGACTGATTTTTTTTCTTGTGATTCTACTACTAGGATGATTATAATCCAAGGTTTATGAGCTCCTCCTCTTATAACCACAATTACATTTGGCGTTTTGTATTAGAGTTCTCTACTAGGTAAGTTGCCTTATCCGCAGCTAATGAGCCTCACCTGCCTCAATATATGTTCAGTTTAATTTCATGACCATGATTTAAGGCTAAAATACTCTTAGTTGTTATTAATATATATATATATATATATATATATATATATATATATATATATATATATATATATATATATATATATATATATATATATATATATATATATATATATATATATATATATATATTATAGTAATGTAATATTATTAACAATGTACTATTATTATGTATGATATATTACTATATATATATATACATATATATTTAATAATAAAAGAGTCATTTAATTTTTTTGATATTATAACTATAATTAATTTTTTCATTAAAAGGTATCATCCCAGCAAGGTCTACATGCTTCCCAACAAGAAATTCCACAGCAGCATTTCCAGTTGGTTAGTCATCATCAGCTTCAACAACCTCAACAAACTCAACAGCACCAGATACAGCAATCTCAGCAAACTCAACAACTTCAGCTCCAGCAAACTCAACCAACTCAACTAAGTCAACAACAACTTCAACAACTTCACCAAATTCAAATGCACAAGAAACAGCAACAGCATCAGCAGCAACAAAAGATGCAACAACAACAACAACAACAACAACAACAAATACAACAGCTCCAAATGCAACAAATCCAACATCAACAGCAAATTCACCAGCAACAACTCCAAAATCTTCAAAGTAAATTAGAATTATTTTTTAAAAAGGGTTGTGAAGGAATATTTCACTAAATTACATAGAAGTAAATTTTAATTCATTTTAGCTAAACATTAGCTAAACCTATGGTTAATTAAAAATTTTTTTTTAATTTTATTGGTTATCACTGAGCTTTTTTTTTATCTAAATATATTCATAATGAACATATTAATAACAAATAATTCTAAATATGCTCATAATTCAAATGTCAAACACATATCAGTATGTTGTAATAGTCTCTGAAGTATTTCAAGACACATGTTATCCATGATCAAAAGCTGGTTTAGTAGAATAAAATTCATAAAACTTTATGTCCAATTAATAATTTTTTCACAAATGGACTATGAGACTCAATAATCTAAACTTATAAATTTAAACTTATAAATTTAAACTAATCTAAACTTATAAATTTATTGAATTATTAGTTGAATTTTAACTTTAATGTTCAAAATGGTATTCTTCTTAAAACAAATATAAAAAACGGACTAATAAAAAAATAGTAAAAATAAACAAAAATAAACAGTAAAAATTAAAAAAAAGAAATTAGCTTAAAATAAAAAAAAATAGCTCAAAAATAGCTCAAAAAAAAAAAAAAAAAAGCTCAAAATACTATCCTTCTTAAAAAAGTTTCATTTGAAAAGATAAAAACATTAAGCATTACCAGAACAAGCATTTTATTTTTATTCTCTTTTGCAACCAATAATTCACTAAACTGTAAGAAGTAAATTGAAAAAGACTGTTAAAGAGTTTCACACCTTTGACCAAGTATATCACATAAATTAAACTAAATATATAAAACTAAATTAAAACTAAATTGCACATAAACTAAATGAAACTAAACTAGTTTTATTTAGGTGGAGTGTCCAGTCAAACAAATAATTTTTTACCACCAGCTAAAGCAACAACTTTTATGCCAATACAACACCAAAAACAACCTCATCCATCTCCATCCAATGTTATTTTTGTTTCATCACCTCAGCAAGCAACCCATCAACAACCATCACCTTCTCCAGCGCTGCAGGTAACATTTTTTTTTCATACAATATGTATAACCTTTTTAATTTTTAAACTCTCGCGAATGTTTTAATAGGATTGTATTTAATTTAATAATAATGTTGTAACTTAAATTTGACAAAGTTAAAAAAAAGTCATATAACAATAATTTTTTACAAAAGTTTAATGTAAAACTCTCAAACTTAGATACACAAGATTCAGAGAAACCAGATTTTCAGGTCAATGTAAGGTTTCCTGAACTGTGTGGTAGCTCTTAGTAGAATTGGATTCATCAAAAGCTGTAAAATAACAGAACACTACTCTTTTAGTGGTATAAAGATAAGCTTGTGTTCAGTTACCCATTATGCAAATTAAACATTTGTTTAAGTTGTCCGCTGTAATTGATCCAAATACTATTTTGATTTTTTGTTTGTCATTTTGATACTCTCAACAAAATTTTTAGGTTAATGATTGTTCCATAATATATATACTTTTAAAAAAACTAAATAACCCTGAAAAAAATCTTAAAAGCATGATACTATTTTGGTGTAATTTTTAACCATCCTTTTTTTTAACACTGGTTTGTGCAATCTCTGCTTAATTCTCCAATAACAATCTGTGTAATAGAATATGATCTTCTAATAAAACTGTTTTCTGTATTATAAATTTTGCTAGTATTTTTGTAAAATTTTTTTAATAGTGTTAATAAAATTTTGTTAATAGTAGTTTTGTTTGTAAGTCTAAATATAATGTTTCACCTCTCTTGCATATCTTTCCCGAGGAAAACGTTAAAGTGTTTGAAATTGAATTTGATTTTTTTTTTACCTTGAAAAAAGTTTTAAATATTTTTTACCTTGTTTTCAAAATAGCTTTTTTTTACCAAAGTTATCTTTATTGTAAATATAAAAAGTATTGTTTGTATATATTTTTTATTTGTAATTATAAATACTTTTATAATCTACATATTTATTTGCATTAGTCTGCACCTTCACCAGCATTCACTAATCCTCCCTCAGTTGGTCCAGCAACAAGTCCACCTCAACAAGCAGATGATCAGGCGTACATAGAAAAGGTTTTTTAGATTTCAAGTTGATTTTAGCAAAGCATTAGCTTTATAGGCCTATTAAAATTATTCTTTGTGATTTTAGTTAAAAGAGCTAAGCAAGTATGTTAGTCCACTGACTGAAACTCTTGCTATGATGCAGAAGGGAGAAGGTACAAATTAGTTATTATATATATATATATATATATATATATATATATATATATATATATATATATATATATATATATATATATATATATATATATATATATATATATAACACAAATATTTTAGTCTTTAATCACTAATTCTTATCTTTTTTTAACAAGACAAAAGTAGCTATATTAATGCCACTGATAGAAAAGTTTAAAAATAAAAAATTGGGATAAAACATTGTTTATTGTTTGCATTCAATTAGTAAACTAATTTTTGAAAAACTTTTCATTTTTTTAAAGTTTTTATTTATTCTGTACTAAATTTATTAATTATAAAATAATACTATATAATAATAAAACTTAAGTACCCAAAAATGTAATTTCCTTTGAAAGAATTGGTTGTTTCCTTTGAAAAAATTTGGCACGTCTTTTTTATATTGAGAATGTAAATAAAATTTACATTTTTAATATAAAAATTTTACTTTTTTTTACAATTTACTGCTTCCTTTTTAGTGTAGATTTCAAACCCCTTCTTTTATTGGTGTAAATTCTAAACTGCTTCCTTTATTAGTGTAGAACTTGCTTCAAGTTACTTTGGATCTTTCTTGGAAACCATATATCAAAATTAAAGATTGCAAAATTAATATCTGCTAAGGTTGCTCTTTATTGTGCTTGCCACTTTTTTACTCAGAATTCTATTCTTTATCTCTATAAATCTCAAATCGTCCTGGTACTGTTGCAATATCTGGGGAGGATCTTCAAATAATGCCCTTTCACTTTTAGGTTAGGTGCGAAAAAGCATTTTAGGCATAGTTGGACCTGGTCTTGCAAGCAACCTTTAACCTTTTACACATGATTTTGTTGCTTCTTTTTCTCTTTTTTGTAAATACTATAATGGGCACTACTCTAAAAAGCTAGTGTCTCTTGTGCCATCCAATTAAAATCATTCTCATATTTCTCGTTATTCAGTTAAGTCATTCTTTTACTGTGACTGTTCCTAAGTGCTCCAAAAATTCTTATTTGTCTAGTTTTTCTCCAAACATCAGTTCTTTAAAATTTGCTTCCTTTATCTTTTTTTCCTGATTCATATAGTTTGCAATCGTAATTCATCTGTTAATTGTTATCTTGCTCTATAAACTTCATCTTTTCTCTTCCAGTAACTTCCAACTTTAATAGTGATTGCTTGCAGCCTTGTTGGAAGTAATGACGTTTAAAAAAAAAAGTTCCAATCAATTCCAAACCACTTCCTTTATTAGGGTAGAATTTGCCTCAAGTTTATATTGCAGGTTTTCCTATTTATGTAAATAATCATATTGTGAATAATCATTTCTACCATGGTTTCATACTTAATAATTTTTTTGTTTTTTGTGTTCTCCTATTGCTTTTTTTCTGCTGATCTCTTGTATAAAGTTAATTTCAAAACTTTATCTTTTCTACAAATTCTACCATGGTTAAATGAGCTGTCATCTCATGGTTAAATGAGCTGTCATCTCATCTACCAACTCATGCTTGTATGAAACATAAAAATCATGCTTGTATGAAATATAAAAGCCATGCTGTATGAAATATAATTTTTTTAAAATTTTTTGACAAAGAGCAAAAGCACTTTGGAACTGACTTATTCTAAACTTCATTATTCTTAAAAGCTAACTAGGTTATATAATAGCTACTGGCTAATATAAAAGAAAGTGACCATGGAAAACATCTTTAAGATGCAAAAACTTTTAGAAAATCATATCTAAAAACACATGCATTTTTTGATTTTTTTATAACTTTTGAAGTACTGGTCTTGAAGGGCGTTTTGCCTTGATTAAAATGTAGTAATCTGATGAAGCACAACAATAATTGGAGAATCCGATGGAGCTAGTGAGTGAGCTAATGTGAGAATCTGATGGAGCTAGTGAGTAGGAAAGATGTGGTGGAATTTCCCATTCAAGTGCTTCCAATGAATTTCTTGTTTTCAAAATGTACTCAAAGGTTTTTGCGCAACAAGTTACTTTGTTGTTTGTTCACTAGAATCTGATGTTTTTTGTTCTGTATTTTTATAGGGTAAAAATACAGAACAGAAGTCTTTTATTGATTCCACCAAACACACTTTACCTTGTTTGAATGAATGTTTTGCTTTGCTGTTGATTGGTTTGGTTTGATTGCTTAATTTGCCTGGACAAACCTATGATTTTTTAGGTTTAGACCATATATAATACATTTTTAGTTGCAATTCAATGCAAAAAATGTCTCCTTCAAATCATTAAACAATTTGAAATTTTGGCTTTAAAGTCAGTTTATTTGTAACCCATTTTCCTTCTCTTTGAATCATTTTCATGGCATGAAAATGTTTCCTTATGGTTGCTTGAGTGATATTTAACTGTTCTACAAATCTTTTTTCTGTTTGAACTCAATTCAACAATAATTCCAATTTTTTATCTTCAAATTTTTATTAATATTGTTAATTTTATTAATAGCATTAATATTGCTACTTTTGTCTTGTTTAAACCAGTTTTCATAGGTTGAGTGTATTTTGATCATAAGCTTCTCGAAGCAAACAAAAACTCTCAGCAGTTTTTTATTTTTGATTAAAGCAATTAAGTAATGCTTCTCGCAAATGCTATTTTAATTGTGTGCGGAGAAACAATATTAACACAGTACTACCAGGGACTGGTGGGGATCGAACTCAAAACTTCTTGCTTATGAGGTAGTACGGCATCCCTTATGAGGTTCTACCACGTCCCTGGTAGTACCGCACAAAAATCCATAAACTAAGTTAATTGATTATTAACCAATTAACTCTATAAACTCTTTAACCAATTAAAGATTTAAAAACGAAAAAGATTATTAAAAAAGTTTAAACAAAAAATTTTTTTGAAATTTTTTAATTGTCTTTAGAACACAAAAAAGGGCGCGACAAGATGGCCGGTCTTTTAGACGTCATTACAAATAAAAATAGGAGGTAAGCTTTAGCGATATAAATAAATATAGAATATAACATTAAAAAATCAAAAACTGTTAAAAATTTTAACAGTTTTTTTATTTCTTAATTTATTCTTTGTTTATAATTTTATATATATATATATATATATATATATATATTTATATATATGTGTGTGTGTGTGTGTATGTGTGTGTGTGTGTGTGTGTGTGTGTGTGTGTGTGTGTGTGTGTGTGTGTGTGTATTCAAGCAGCCATACCACAGCCATAGTGAATTTTATATTGTTATCTAGTACATTATATATGGAGTACAACATAACTATAATTTATTTTCAATAATAATTCTAATATCTGCCGTTATTAAAACTGTAGTTTATATAATAATATCTTTAATGCTTATGCATATACATTTTGATTAAAGTAAAATAGGGAACTGGGTTGTCATTAAAAGATATATACATGTATACAACCCTCGAAATTATGGTCAACATTCAGCAATACCAACCTAACTGCTGACCTAAAAGTGTTTAAAGTCAGCAAAAATTGCCGACCTTGTTTTAATGTTTTATGATAACCCATTTGTGTCAAATTTTTTTTGCCAACCTTATGCTGACCTCTAACAGGTTGAGGTAGGCAATTTATTGCAGACCTCATTTTTTCTAATTCCGAGGGTTATATATATATATATATATATATATATATATATATATATATATATATATATATATATATATATATATATATATATATATATATAAATATATATATATATATATATACTAGTGATCAAAAGTTTAGACTCAGAAAAAAAATCTCTTAAGCTTAGCTCTGAAAATGCTAAAAAAAATTTATTAAGATAATGCTTGAAATTTTTTTTTTTAATTCAACTTATTTAGTTTGTTTCTAACATAATTACAAAAAACACACACCTTTTATTTTATATATTGGTCTTTTTTTTTATTTTATAATAATAGCGCTATTTAAAAACAAATAAAATGTGTCTCATAAATTTAGACTCACTTTTTCTATCTTTATTTCCATATAAGTGCTTAACCTTTTTTTTTAAAGATTGTAATTTTAACATGGATCAAAATATATTTTCTAAAATATTATGTTTAAATCCATTTAAAAATTAAATTATTTACTAACTTAGTGCACGCTAATCAAAATATACAATTTTTACTCATTATTTGCATTTAAAATATTTAGAAAATGGGTAAAACATCAGTATCAAAAGAAATCAAAGAAAGAATTATCACCTTGCACCTTGCTGGTAATTCTACAAGAAAAGTTCAGTTGATTCTCAAGAACGTATCACAGTCATGTGTCACTAAAACAATAGCTAAGTGGAAAAAAACAGGTAGCACATTAGATAAAATCAGATCCGGAAGACCCAGAAAAACAACTACCACTGATGATAATAGTATATACAGAATTGCCAGAAAAAATCCTAAGTATAGTGCCAAACAAATTGCTCAAGAAATAAATCTAGCTCTTAAAAATGACATCTCAAGGCAGACAGTAAATAGAAGATTAATTGATCGTAAACTATGCTCGTATACTGCTGCTAGAAAACCAATGCTTAAAAGATCAGATCGACTCAAACGGCTACAATTTTGCAAGAAAATTCTTAAGATGAGTGATAGTGATATAAAAAAAAATTGTATTCAGCGACGAATCGAATTATGCAGTCGTTAATCGAAAAAAAAGAGTAACTGTTCGAAGACACCATAATGAGAAGTTTCATAATCGTTTCATTGTACCTCGGTTACAGGGCGGAGGAGGTTCAGTTGGGATCTGGGGTTGTATCACGTATGATGGACCCGGACTATGCTACTTGTACACTGGTAGAATGGATCAATACAGATACATTGAGACGCTTGAAAATAATTTGATTCCAACAAGAGACTTATTTTTTGGAGATGAGCCAGAATGGAAATTTCAGCAAGATAATGCCCCTTGTCACAAAGCAAAAACAGTAACAGCTTGGTTTAAAGAAAATAAAATCAATTTACTCCAGTGGCCAGCTAGATCGCCAGATTTAAATCCAATGGAAAATGTATGGTCTGTGCTTGATCGAAAACTGACCAAAGCTCCTGTAACTTCAGCTGAAGAACTACGAAAAAGTTTAAAACAGTTGTTTGATGGCTTGTCCTTTGAATATTGTCGAAATCTTTTTGAATCTATTAAAAGAAGATGTAGACTTTGCATAGCTAACAAAGGCGGTCACATACCTTATTAACTTGACTTACAGTTTAAAGTGAAAAGTCCTGAGTCTAAACTTATGAACAAGATTTTTATAGATATCTTTTTACATGATTTTGCTATTTTCAAAATAAAATACTTTAAACTTGTTTTTCTTTTCAAGTCTTTTATATATATTAAAGAGAATTTCATAAATAATAAACTGGATTAAAAATAAAATTAAAAACAAAACAAAAAAGGCATTTTTTTAAATCACAAATCACTAAGAAACTATAAGTTTTATTCTGAGTCTAAACTTTTGATCACTAGTGTATATATATATATATATATATATATATATATATATATATATATATATATATATATATATATATATATATATATATATATATATATATATATATATATATATATATATATATATATATATATATATAAATTAAATAGATACATATATATTTACTATAGCTTATATAGGTAACAAATTGTTACTAGTTTTTCCTATCTTTAAAAAAATGAGCATATTCAGAAAAAGAAGAAAAAAACAAAGAATAATTAAAGAAAAGATTGCTTCCCTGTGCTAAAGCCTCAGTTGATGTAGCAGCACTTCTTTGTGGCAGCAGACTATAAGATAGTGGATGTATGTACTGAAGGCCCTGGCAGCAGCCTATTTCACTGTAACGTCAGAGATATTATCTAATCACGCATTTATAGTTATGAATTTTAATGTTATAGTGGGTTTTTTGAGGAATACAGTTGGCTAGTTGGGTATTTGACACTTTTAAGTACGAGACACTTTTATTGGGTCTTCTAAAATTTAAATAGATATATATCATATTTAACAAATATATATATATATATATATATATATATATATATATATATATATATATATATATATATATATATATATATATAAATAGATATATAAATAGATATATAAATAGATATATATCATATTTAAATAAATAGATATATAAATAGATATATATCATATTTAACAAATATATATATATATATATATATATATATATACAGGCCTTGTTTTAAATAAAAAAGTGCTTAATACAACAGCTTAACGCGATTTTGACAACATAAAATTATCTTTATTTTTTTTTATAGGCGTTAAGTGTTATAACTACCGCAATAAATAAATAACCGCTAACTAGTTCAATTAAACAACTAACTCAAATAACTATTTCTGAAACTTGTTTTTGAATAATTGTTTTTAATCGCTATTGAATAAAAAATAATAATGATTGTTTTTATTTTTAAAAATTTCTAGAGTAAACAAAAAATATTAACATTGATAAACATGTTAATTATTTAAACAACAATTTTGTTTTGACTAGCAAAGAAAAATTTAGGTTTTTAAATATTTTTTAAATTTATCTTGCTTAGCGTTTCAACTTGCGTTTTATAAAAATATAAAAAAGTTTTGTCTGCTTTGAGCATATTTTTGATACATAATTTAGAACGCGTTCGCCAGGAATTTAATTCATAAATTTTTTATGTTATTGTAAAAATATTTTACTTTTTAAACAAATCACAAAAAAACAGAGCTATAGAGGAAAATTGTTTTTAACGATTAAATCTTTTTTTTCTTTTAAATTTTAGGAAATTAAAAAAAAAATTAGATATAAAAGTCTTAATTATGCAAACTCTTTTGTTAACTATTCTTAAAACAAAAAAACAAATACTTCTATGCCAAACTTTAATCGTGCAAACTTAAAAAAACACTCAACTGAAATAATTTAAGTATATTTAATAATTTGAATCGTATCTGTTTATAATAAACGTTCGTAAAAATTTGTTTAAAAATTAAGTTCCTTAACTTATAAACAAACTCAAAAGTATTTTTATTCAACGTATAATTACAACTCTTTTTTTTTTTTCGTTTGTAAGCAATTTAATTAATAAAATAAAAAAAGAATAAATATGAGGTAATCTTTGTTAAAAACAAATTTAATTTATTTATTGAACTATATTTTTATTTTTAATTATATATCAACTTAATTAAAATATAGTAACATGTTAAAACATTTTAACATGACTTGTGTTATTTATAAACCGTTGGGCAATTGCCCTTACAGCACCTTTATTTTTGGATAATAATTTATTTTGATTAAGATCACATAACTTACATTTGATTTTAATAACGCAAGTCTTCTCTTTTTCTGTGATCATCGCATCGGCGAAGCATCGGCAAAGTCTCAAGATTTAAAAGTTTTTAAAGTAAATTTTTTGTCCTTCAAAATCCATATTCGAACTTTAAACAACTTTGAGAGAATAGTAATATACAAGGTTTTTATATACTAGTTTGTCTTGTTTTATAAAGAAAAATACATATTCATTAGTAAACAAATAGAGATTGTCATTAAACTAAAACGTGCCTTAGTATTTATTTAACGGAATCTTTAATGTGCGCGTGCATAATGAAACCTCCGTTATATAAATATATTCAACATAATATTAGTGTCATCAACGGATGTTATAGTCTACTCGTGATTTCTTTACCTTATAATATAACTTGATTTATGAAAAAAACTTATTGAATCAATGTCAGGTCAGGTTTTCCTGCTACTGGTAACATGTAACCCAGTACAACCTGCTCCATGTCCTGCTGCCTTGTAGGATACGCTTTTTTAGGCAAAGGCTAGGAGAAGTTAACTCCGAATTAAAACACCCCCTGCCTTGGGGCTCTTGGTTGAGTAAAGGCTAGAGATGGTGTCTCGATAAAAATACTCATCTTGGGCAGATGTTACATGCATCCAGCTGCTGTCTTGTAGAAGGCCTCCTAGGCAAAGACTTAAGGGG